ATTCTGTTTTTTTTCCACATCACAATAAAAAAGGTATTTGCAACTTTTTTTATCTTGCAATTCTAATTTGAGCTTTATTTGAATTGCAAGTTTATAATTGTTTTTCACCACAGAATAAAAAGATTTGCAATTCAAACTGTTTTCTTCAAATTGCAAATCTCACAATTTTGACTTCCTTCTCAGAATTCTCTCAGAGTTATTCTGAGAATACATCTATACATCTAGCAATTCTGGTTTTTTCCCCCATAAATAAAGGCAATCGCAATACTAACTTACATTTTCTTGGAATCTCCAAGTTTATATTTTCTCAGAATTCTGAGTTTACATCTTAAAATTCTGTTTGTTTCCACCATGGAATTAATAAATACAATTTTTAATTGCTTAACTTTTTGTCACAAATTGAACTTTTTCAGAATTTTGAGTTTACATCTTTCAATTCTGTTTTTTTTTTTTTCACAATGGGATAAAAATAAGGTAACTGCCATTTTTTAAATCTAGCAATTCTAACGTTTTTTTCTACGAATTGCGAGAAAGGGTCAGAATTGTGAGATTGCAGTTAATAAGCTTCCATATGTTTCCATTGCTTATGCATTTACAAATACAGAAATGTTCTATTTTGTTCCTATTTTTGTTTAGAGTTTTGATTCTGTTTTGGGTCACCACTAATACAATGCAACATGCAATACAAAGACATTCAGACATTTGTAAGAGTGGCTCAGTGTTTCTGGGCAGCAGACAGCTATAACAGAGTGTGTGTGTGTGTGTGTGTGTGTGTGTAGGTTATAACTGGACTCCAGACTGGGACCCAGCGCTGTCCTCCTGCGGCTCATTCTGCCTGGCGGTTGTGATTATCAGACTCATATCAGTCCCGCTCATGTTTGCCTGCGTTTACTGCCTACAGCGCCGTTATAATCTGTTTGCATATGAGTAAACAGCCTGAACTCAACCACAAAACAACGAAAGTCTACATTCAGCCGAAGCCACACGTCCACTTGGACAGAGAGGAACATTAATGCTCTGATGCACATTTAATGCAAAGAATAATAAACGATAAGGAATAAGATGCCTACTGATTGTAAAATAACTTTGTATAATAACTCCTTCACACGTGTAATTGAATTTTTGGATGCTTAGTTAAAATACACACACAAAAAAAAAAAATTCTCTGGATATTTCCATGTTATCTTTTTCAATAAAAATGTTTAAAAATATTTTTATGTTTTAAGTAGCATTAAAAAATTCTAGTGACATTTTGATGACAATTGAGCACATTTCCTCCACAAATTATCATTACCATAACAAATAAAATCTATAAGTTATATATATTTATGCATTAGATATCATGACTAAAAATGAACTTACTTTAGTCATCTAGGCCGTGTCATTTCTAAATATACTACAAATGCATTTTTAATCTTAAATTGATGTTAAACTCATTAATTAACAGTGAACGAATGTTTTTATAATTTAACATTAGCTTAGTTTAATGATGTAAAAATGCTCATTTTTAATTCACAATACTTTATGCATTAAGTTAACAATTGAAATGTAGTGTAAAGTGTCACTTTATTTATTACAAAGTGTTTATATTTGTATGTACTGATTTTAATTTACTCCAAATAAAGAAAAAAACGTTATTATATTACAGTAATAAGAATCTAATGAGAAACAAAAACATCTGGATGCATCATGGTAATCAGCTGATATTCATATATTTTGAATATTTATATTATACATTATAAAGGTAAACAAAATTATATATATATATATATAAAATAAGAATAAACACTAAATATATTACTTAACTCGTAAGTAAAATATTTAATAAATATTTTATTTAATTTGTAAGTAAAATATTTAATAATCATAAAATCTATATTTATATTTATAATATTAAAATATATTAGATGTACAATATTTATTTATGAATACATTATATATAGATTTAATATTAAATGTTAAGTATTTTACTTAATTTACAAATTAAGCAAAATATTTAAGATTTAATAAAATCTATAAATAACTTGTACTGATAATAAAACATGTATAATATATATGTTTATAAATAACTTATTTATTGAGACAAATGTGCTTAAATGCCATAAAAATATTAAATATAAGAGGCTTGAAATGGTGTGAAGTATGAACTGGACATGTTTTGGGTGATATTTTGTAAATTAGTACCTCTGGTTGTCCAGTTTAAACGAGTGAAATGGTGCATTTCATTTGCATTATTGTCATATAAATAAAAATATAATAAAAACATGTCATGAAGGACATCTTTATCCAAAACACCTCCACCTCTCTTATTCCTCGTCTCCTACAAACTAAAGTCTAATAAATGATTCAGGTTTTATAATGACGCTGACAAAATCTGAAACCAAGCATCTTTTATATAAACACATTGACTAATAAACACAATATTACAACAAGGTGAGGATCCAGTGATGATCTGAGTGTGTTTCTCCAGGATCACAGTCAGATCAGCAGAGTTCAGATCGAGCGCCGCGTATCTTTCTCTGAAGGAGCTCCGAGCTTTTTACTTTTTGCTTTCTTCACTTTTTCTTTAATGGCTTGAATATCAATTTTGTTTTCGGCAGTTACTAAAAAGAAGAGAATAATAAATATAATATGTTTGCATGCTTATTCAACTGAATTATTCACACATTTAAAGTAATTTTACCAAAATGAATGTTACTAACCAATATTACTAGTAGTGAGTATATATATATATATATGTGTGTGTGTGTGTGTGTGTGTGTGCATGTTTATGTGGTTTATGAGGACACAAATTTGTATAATAACATGGGTATGACATAGGTATTACATTTTTTCACAAGGTGATTAATGAGGACATTTTCAGTGTCCCCGTAATTCAAAAGGCTTATAAATAATTCAGAATGAGTTTTTTTGAAAATCTAAAAATGCAGAAAGTCTCCTGTGAGGGGTAGGTTTAGGGGTAGGGTTGGTGTAGGGCAATAGAATATACGGTCTGTACAGTATAAAAACCATTACGCCTATGGAGAGTCCCCATAAACCATAAATATATATATATATATATATATATATATATATACACACACAGTAATAATTAACAAATTTATTTAAAAAATCAGATCACTTAAATCTCAGCAAAAAATATTATGAATATGATTTGAAATGTTAATTTAGATTTGTTAGTAAAACTAAAAAAAATAATATAATATTAAAGTATAAATAATATTATTTTTAAATACAACATTGAGTTATTGAACATTTACACATTTTTTAACAATCACATTTTATGCATTTTCTTATTAACTAGTAAAACTAGACATTTTGAACAATGATATTTCAAACAGTGTATATTATACCACACTTTGAGAAAACTGTAATATAGGGCAGAGTGTACTGTGTTCAGTTGAAGGAATTTTCTGTGTTGATTTTTGAATTATGCATTGTATTTTGTGTTTTCAGGTTACAATTTGGATAATTTTTCCATTTTTTCACATATTTTTTAACTGATCAACAAGTGCAGGTACAAACTAATAACAAGGTGTTATCATAATGAACAATTATTACTGAACAACTGCAGCTAGCACGTGATACACGTGTACTGCTAGATACCTTTGGTGTCCTCTTTTAGAGAGAAAATGTGTCTTTTTATCATTCGAGTCACAGATGCTAAAAGTTGCCAAATAAATTTTAAAAATAGCTAAATTTGTTGCTAGGTGCTTTTTGAAGAAAAAGTTGCTAGGGTAGTGTGAAAAGTTGCTAAACTAGCAACAAAATTGCTAAGTTGCCAACACTGATTGAGTAGGTACACTCTTAAAAATAAAGGTGCTTCAAAAGGTTCTTCAAGCGATGCCATAGAAGAACCATTTTTGGTTCCACAAAGAACCATTCAGTCAAAGGTTCTTTAAAGAACCATCTTTCTTACCTTTTTGTAATCTGAAGAACCTTCTTTCGCCACAAAGAGCCTTTTGTGAAACAGAAAGGTTCTTCAGATGTTAAAAGTTCTTTATGGATAATAGACTTCATGATAATAGACAACATTTTTGTTTAATATAATATTCCAGTCAAAATTAAGATCACGTACCATTACAAAAAATTTCAGCGACAGGGAAGATAATAATATTACAGATGTTTTGCAAAAATAATGTGCACAGATGGTTACAAAGAAATATTTCAATTTGTGGGAGAATATTATTAACAAAAATGGAAGAGATATCAAAATTAATTTATCCAGCATATTCATCGTCAGTGGTGCCAGAGAGGTGTATTAAGCAAATAAACCGAATTCATTATGATTTTATTTGGAATAATAAGCAAGATTTGATTTGAAAAGGTGATACGGTGAAGTTAACGGAGCAAGGAGGATTGAATGCAATTGATTTTGGAGTAATGAACGGGGTTATTAAGTCAAGATGCTTACAAATGTTTGTAAGAGATGAACAGTCTTCATGGTTTAGTGTTTCTGTTCATCTTTTCCAAAGAGTTGGAGGAATTTCCTTTCTTTTAAGATGTGATTTTGACCTGCCTTTTAAGTTATCTGATTTTCATGTAGCCTATTGGAAAATGTTGTACAAGCATAATTTTACTCCATATGATGTTGTAATTTGGAATAACAGGTGTATATTCCTTACATAAGAGGAAATCTTTATTTTATAAAGACTGGTTTGACAAAGGAGTTTGGAATTTAATGCATTTAATTGATGAAGAGTGTAATATGCTAAGTTATGATCATTTTAAAATGAAATTAATTTGGATTATTCTTATAGACAATTTTCTTTAGTTGTCAAAGCTATTCCTGTAGCTTCAAGGAATTTAATTAAAGGTATTTACAATATTCTTCTGTAATACCTACATTGGTTGATTTGTTTATTGACAATTATAATTTCTTGGATGTTAGTTAATTATTAGTTGATGTTATTTTAATGACTGCTATACACTGATGGTTGAGATTAAGTTACTGTAATCATAGTGTCATGAATTAATAATAATATTACAAATAATATGACTAAAGAGCATAATTGAGGCGTCTTTTTGTGTGTGTGTGTGCATGTACCATGGTATTATTTTTTAGAAAATTAGAGTGCCACATGAATCAGAAATTAGTTCATAAATTTGTGTCTAAGAGGGCAAATCACTGATTCAACTTGTAGTATCAAGACCAAGGGAATGCATGAATGTGATTTAATATTCTAAAGCACAGACAGTCTGCTTGTCATTATACACACACACACACACACACACACACACACAGAGAGTCTCAGTGTGCAGCATAATAAGAGTCACAAGTGCTGAAGCAGCTCAAACTGAGCACTCGTCCATCCAGTTTCGGACCAGCGTGCATCAGTCCATCCCGACAGCAGGAGCAGCAGGAGTAAATATGCATGTTTTGGGTCTGTTTATGGTGGTGTCTGTGTTCATCAGCACTGGATCTGCTTCAGATGATCAGATGGAGCTAGCAGCTTTACTGCGCAGCGTCTCTTCAGCAGCACTGATCCGAGATCAGCCGCTCACCGGCCCACAGACTGCTGCTGCCGGACCCAAGCTGCTGATTAAAGACGGGCTCATCCAGGGCCTGATGCTGGACAAGTCCTATGTGTTTTATGGGATCCCGTTCGCAGATCCTCCTGTGGCGGCGTCCCGCTGGAAACCGCCCCGTCCTGTCACGCCGTGGAGAGGGGTGCATGATGCCACCTATCCCAGAGCGGCGTGCATGCAGGCCTGCATCGGACCCATTGCTGACGAGTGTCCCAAGAAGGTGAGCAGGACACGATGACAGACGGGGAGGGACTGATTCTGTGGCTTGTAAAAATAGCAAAAACTTTTGGGTTCCATAAAGGTTTAAGATCTACACAGAGGAATAAATAACTTGAATTGATTTAATTTGCTATATTTAGTCATTTCTTTGGATTAAACAGAATTAGGGCTGCTGAAAGGGTATGGCGCAAATCAAAAAATCCTACTGACCTTAATGTGTATAAGTCACTCCTCTCTTCCTTCTCTGCTAATGTCCCCACTGCTAAAAGGACATACTATCATAACAAAATTAACAATTCGTCTCGCATGCTCTTTAAAACATTTTCCTCCCTCCATTGTCCTCCTCCTCCTCCCCTTCCTCATTAACTCTAACAGCTGACGACTTTGCCACGTTCTTCATTAATAAAATTAAAACCATCA